AAAAACCTCATAAAGTGACATTTTCATGCCATGGGACCTTTAAGGGATGTAGAATATGGTCAGGCAGAATAAGGCATTAATATGTGCTTTATGAGTCCTAATAAACAGTCAATATGCTAGTAATATGCATGCTAATAAGCAATTAGTTAATAGTGAATAGTGTTCCCTAATCTGAAGTAGTTGCCACACTGCCAAATGACCTGTAATTTGATTTATATTTGAGGGAGGATCAGCCTGTTTGGTTCACTGGCAGCGACTGACAAAACAGGCCAACCTGAGAGATCGCTAATGAGTGAAGATGGTGCAGAAAAACTGCTGGGGATTCTACTTCCCGACGCACCAGAGGTAGAGGAGTAACCCTGCGCCCATCAGTGTCAGTTCCTTATCTTTGACGCCCACAATACTCGACACCTCTGTGTGTTGAGCCGGTAAGAACGGGAGATTTCACCAGGGAGGTTGCGCTCAGCCAGTGGTGAGGAAACAGTCATCTAGTTTAGAACGGATGACCTCTTGCTGGATGACCTCATTTGGTCAATCTAAGTTAAGCCTGAGATCTTTTCACTGTAAAGAGTTCACAGTGCATGCAGTCAACCCCCTCAAAGACTGACCACGTGTGCTCCTCACCCATTCAAACAACGCACATCTCATGTGAGTCGTCCCCTGTTATAAAGCGTGGGCACGGCATCCCACACCTCCTATACTTTTGACCAGGAAATAATGTCAGGCTGTAAGCATTCACACAAACACATGCATTTAGCAGACAAGCAGCTTCCTAAAGACAAAGCAGCTGGGGATTCTGTGACGCAAGCACTCTTTTATGGTCTCGCTGACACACCATGCTACATCACCTGACTTCACGATGGCCAATGAGATTGACGTGTTTTCACACGTGCTTCATGGGAGCCTTATCAAACACTTGGCAAATTGATTACAAGTGGACTGAACACTCTTCTGGGCCTGGTTGCATGAAACCCTTAAGTGGTTTAACTTAAGGGAATCCCTGAGGGTAATTCTTTTAGAGACCATCACCTATACTAAAGTGTTTATAATAAACATTACACAGATAGTGTCTGGCAAAACACGGCGATCGAGAAGTGGTTGCTATAGTTACAAAATTTCCCACAAGAAACAGAACATAAAAGACCTTTGACTTTTAAACAAGTTTAACCTTTCCTACAACTACACAGCTGTACTAAAGTTTCATAAAATTTCTTATTTCTCTTTTCTATTATTATTAAAGAGAAGAAAAAGTGGTTGAAAAGGTGCTTAATTAATGCTGTAATAGCAGCTAATAACTTAAGAATATAAGAAATAGTTCCCTTAAAAATTCAGACATCATTTACTCACCCTCGAGTCGTTTGTATCCAGTATGAAGCCTGTATTTGGGGACAGCGAAGGATTCAGAGGTGAAAGAACTCTTGTTCCTGTCCTTGCAGTTCCAATCCAAACCCAAATGACTTTCTTTCTTCTACGGAACACAAAATTTGATAATTTAATGAATATCCAGGTGGATGGATTCATTACAACGGCAGCACATTGTGACTCACTTTAAGGCTCAATCAAGCACAAAACTGCACCTTTTGCATTTGTGCAATGACAGAAGCAGCATGAAAACAATGTACTCGAGTGTGAAGGAATAGATGATTGGGTTGTTTTTCACCAAATCCAATCAGAATGCCTTTAAATGAACAGTGAGCTGTATGGACTTGTTGGGTGCTTTATTAGGCATTAAAGTGAGTCCCTATACCACCATGTTCTGCAGAAGAAAATAAGTCATTTAGGTTTGGACTGGAGCTGCAAGGAAAGCAACAATTCCTCTTTTACCTCTGAATCCATCAGTGCCCCAAAACAGCGAGTCAAACAGACAAATAGATTTTCATTTCCGCAAAAAAAAAATATA